TATATATATATATATTAATTAAATATTTCTTAATTTTTATCTTATTGACTATTGTTACATTTGGCTCTCCAGAATGTGCCTTCAAAATGAAAACTCCAACAAGAAAAACGTAGGTTATTCATCCCAGGTATTGGGCACTTTTTTGAATAGACTAAATGAATAAAGTCTGGAACAAAAAAATTCAATTGCGCTTTTATTTCTTGTCCAGCAAGACCAGGGGCAAGTTCAAGCTCAAACCGGTGTGCACCGTTTTGCTACGGTTTCCGTTTGAACGACATGTTTCCTGGAAACGGTGTGCAACGGGGTTTGAGATGCGTTTTCTCTTGTTTGGTGGGTGTGTCAAAAATGTCAGCCCAATCAGCAGCAACATGTATATAAACCACGCGGTATTAAAGAGACAGCTCGCACAATGTAATTAACATCCAAATAAATTCACAAGAGCAAGTATATTGTTTGCACATGCTTATTTACATTAAAGGCAAAATAACTAAAATAATAAGAGCACAAGTATAGATCTGGAACTTCTTTCAAATACCACCGGGCTTGTCTTCTGATCCACGGCGTCTGGTGTCACCGCCATCGCCGGTGTGCTGACATTTGGATTGGACATTTTTGCATTGGAGCTAGAACTACAAGCCATGAGTAATATCAGTAATAATCGGAGTTAAATACTATCAGGTTTATAATAAGTAGTGTATGCTCCATTAGTTGCCCTTTGCAGAAACTTTATTTTTGCTAAACTGATCTTTGCATAGTGCTTTCCTGCAAGCCAACGTTTACAGCTAACTACCAACTGCTGACGAAGATGGATTCAAATGCCATATTTTAACGCAAAAGCACAAATTGGTCCGAAGTGCCGCACCATAGTCGGATCTTAAAGATCCGAAAAGCCGAGATGGCGCCTCAATCTGTTTCACTGTTGGCTATGACTATATGAATGACAGCTCGTCTGTCTATTCACGGACTGCATAGAGGCAGTTAGACCCGCCCATTCGTCCGAAGGAGGTGGGGCTTGCCGGAACATGGAAAAGAAGCGCGTTTAGACTGGTTTGGTGTTTCCGTGTGTGTCCTGCCCTTTTTATACAGTCTATGGTCCTGCCACGTCAGTCTGACGGATGTCGGAGGAGGATCCCGGGCAGTGAAGGCTACGCTCTCAGGAGATGTAACCGTGTCTTTAGTCCTTTAGAGAGGGAAGTATTAAGTGTTCAGCAGCTGCACGAAAGGTAAGAATATTATGATGGTGTTAATTTTACCATCACAAAACATTTCGCAAGGTTTGGTTCAGTAGAGAGCTGTACTGTTGTCAAGAAGGCGGTCTGTCGACTTGAGTTTGTGGGCAAATGTGGGCTAGATATGGGTAATTCTTACGGGCTATTGCATCTATAGGCTGTATGTTTCTTTTTATGAATGCTATGACAAATATGGATACCTTGTTGTCAATAAACCAGGTGTTTTCATTCATTGATGTTGAACAAGTAGGCACAAGATGTATTGAATAAGACCGGTGGAATTTATGAGCAGGTGTGATCTTTAATCAGGAGTGTCAGACTTTTATCAAACTTGATTACTGTCCAGTAGGCTTTCAGATGGCCAGCAATGGTCTATGTTGTGTTCCAGCCAATCAAAAATGATGATCTTTGAGTAAAGGTAAAGATCACACCTGACCTTAGACTTGGTCTACCTCGAGTTTATTTGAGGCGTATTTTGCAGTATTAAACACGTATTTATACCGATTTCATGAGGCTCCGAAAATTCTTCAAAAAGAACACAAATAATGTCCTTCTCAGCTGCCATAGTTGCAACTCTTGCGTCATCAGAACAGGGTGTTCAACGCACCACCGTTTCCGTTTAAAAAACATTTTGCACCGTTTTTGTCGGGGCTGAACGCAGCCCTGATATCTGTTTCACTGTTGGCTATGACTATATGAATGACAGCTCGTCTGTCTATTCACGGACTGCATAGAGGCAGTTAGACCCGCCCATTCGTCCGAAGGAGGTGGGGCTTGCCGGAACATGGAAAAGAAGCGCGTTTAGACTGGTTTGGTGTTTCCGTGTGTGTCCTGCCCTTTTTATACAGTCTATGGTCCTGCCACGTCAGTCTGACGGATGTCGGAGGAGGATCCCGGGCAGTGAAGGCTACGCTCTCAGGAGATGTAACCGTGTCTTTAGTCCTTTAGAGAGGGAAGTATTAAGTGTTCAGCAGCTGCACGAAAGGTAAGAATATTATGATGGTGTTAATTTTACCATCACAAAACATTTCGCAAGGTTTGGTTCAGCAGAGAGCTGTACTGTTGTCAAGAAGGCGGTCTGTCGACTTGAGTTTGTGGGCAAATGTGGGCTAGATATGGGTAATTCTTACGGGCTATTGCATCTATAGGCTGTATGTTTCTTTTTATGAATGCTATGACAAATATGGATACCTTGTTGTCAATAAACCAGGTGTTTTCATTCATTGATGTTGAACAAGTAGGCACAAGATGTATTGAATAAGACCGGTGGAATTTATGAGCAGGTGTGATCTTTAATCAGGAGTG